AAACAAGTTGCTGTCCTTTAAAAAAGGACTGCAATACGTGGACTATACGCATGTGTTTCTAACCGAAATTCAATTTAAGAAAATTTCTAGGTGTACAGTAGTAAATATTCATGTAGGTTTGTTCACATTTTCTACAATGATCTGCCTACTAATGACTGATTGTAGTCTCAAAGCAAAATTGTTAAATTTTATCTCCGATTAGACTTTAGTTTTGTAAGTTTAAAATATCTGGCTATTTTGATACATGTAACCCATAATGGCTATTATACGGAAGAAATCTATCATGAGAAAAATAGATCTGATGATACACTTGTAGCACAGCTCTGTATTACGGATTTTTTTTCTTGATGTAAAAAACAAATGCCGGTGAAGACTCGTTCTGTCTTTTAAAAGCTAGAACTAGTCGTTGAATGACTTTTTTTTTTAATTCAAGTTGTTAATTTACAGTATCTATATACTGCAAGTTCTTCCTACCTTTTGGATCCACCCATGAAGATATAAATACGATATGGCAATTTGCCAATGAATGGCATATTCTAATTCGAATAGGGCGAATTATTCTACGGGCAAGTTGACTAAGGGTCGAACTCTCTAGCATTCTCGCGCATGCGTAGCCTGTCGTTTGCCCATGGCATCCGGATTTAACCTCGCTTTATATTTACTGCGTGAACCTCAGGGTCCACGCAATAAGGAATCTACAATACACAAATTAGTATTTTTATTTTCAAATTTGAAAATTTAAAAACTCACAATTTGAAAAATCATGATTTTACTTTAAAATTCTACTTTATGCAATAAGCAAAACCCAATTATGGAAACGTAATGGTCATAAGAATTCAATAAAATGAATGGTCATTGGAAAAATATTTATTCAGCTAAGATAGTTAATACTTTTGATAGACAGCAGAATTAAATTAAAAACTTTTATACTACCAACTGAATTACAATTATAATGTAACAAAATTAATGAAAAAAGAGGTAAGGTAAATTGTACCACTTGTGGAAAAGTAGAATATTTTGAACACTTATTTAGAATGTACATATTCAAAGATATTGTAGGAAAAACATCTTAAAGATGCTTGGACACTCTTGGAAGTTAATATTTTCTCTATAATATTACGACTTATATATTTTAATAGCAATTCAAACAAAAATTAATTAAAGATCTTATTCATTTATTAATTATTAAAACTTCAATTTTTTTTTGCGGATTTGATTGACACATCCTCACACTTTCACAAACTTTAATTTCATTCTTAATACTTAGGAAAAGTGGCAATCTTGTTGTGTATAAATGAAAAATATTAATACTATAATCCAGAAAATCAGAATAAACATGTTCGAAAGCAAACAAAAACAAAATATATTGTCAGTCCGTGCAGTTGTGGTCAGCAGACTTTGACGATTGAACGTATCCGGTGAATCGTTAACAGTTACAAAAACTGTGTACATAACACGAGTGTGATCGATTTGCTAAACTCTGTACACAACACCTAGCTCGGAATGAGATACTTGCGAAGGAGTTTTGCTTTCTAACATTTCTACTCTAAATAAAATATAAAATTATTTTTCTGGATTAAAGTTTTCATATTTCTCATTGTTATACCCTTATAAATAGTTTTCTATATATTTGTTACTTATAAAAAGTCAAACAAAAAGAAATGTTCATTACATCGGTCTAACAATTTCACTATTGACCGGCCTACCAGTCCAACATAAGAATTGTTAGAACGCAACGTCACTGCTACGTCACAAGTAATTAATCATCGTTCAAACACGGAAGTAGCCGAAGTTGAGAGCTGCAAGAGTTGTTGCTACTAACAAGGTAAGGAAGAAGGGAAGAGTATGTTTTGTGATAAATAATTTTTGTGATATAATGATAATATAATTAAATTTGTTAATTCTCAGCTATTGTTTTATATTTATGATTTAGCCCATTAAGCTTGCGGCTTCGGGCAACTTTTTCACCTTCAGGCCCAAGAAATCATATGTTGCCCTCATACCCAGTCAATAACAGTATATTAATACACAAGATTGCCACTTTTCCTAAGGATTGAGAATAAAGTTGAATTTGTGAAAGTGCGAGGATGTGTAAATCAAACCCGCCCAAAAATTTGAAGTTTTAATAACTTTTAAATGAAATAAGATTTTTAATTAATTTTTGTGTGAAATGCTATTAAAATATATAAGTCGAAATATTATCTTCAAATCTGTGTCCAAGCACATTTAAGTATTGAAATTGGATATTTCCTGGAAAGATATATTGTCGTAGATTTTATTGAGTTCGTTGTCAAAACAAAGGTTTTCAATTTTTTCAATAATGTCATATCAATTGTAGAAGACAAAATATACAAGCATAAAATAAAATGTACATTGCAAAACGAAATAGTAAATGCAAATGCAATGTATTTTTATTTAAATCATCATTGTATCAGTATTATGTACTTATAATAGCAAAGAAAGCAAAATAGTGTCTAATACAATTACTATATTATAAAAAAAAAAGTAGCAGACGAACTACAATTTATTTTGTATGCACAGTAAAACTCGGTTATAACGACGTCACCGGGACCTATGTAATTACTTCCCTATATCAGTAATTCCTAACACCCGTAAAAGGTATTCATTAAAGTTATTATAGTTGAATTCGCAATATCTGTGTTCATACTTAACGAGATTTACAGTACTTAGATATTCTAAGTATAATTTTGTAATCAAATAGATATCTTATTTACAAAATATATTTCATTTACAGAAGAAATGTTTTTCAGTAGGTATATTTATGCTCTTGAATGAAAATGAAACGTCACCAATGCTACATAATCATGTCTTTTTGCTTTCCTTCTTTATCGTATATAATTTCGTAAACAAAATAATACCAATCCAGGGAGCTCCAGGCAACCCAAAGATTTTATAGCCCATGTTTGCCCTGCTCCTATTTTGTATTGTTTCATGGGCATTTGCATATGTTGAGAATGAGATCTAAAATTTGACCTGCATGGATCCGACGCTATGCACTCTAATCAAACTTATGGTTATACTTCAGCGCAACAAGAACATCACTTAAGTTATTATCAAGATTTCTGTGTAGTTGACGAATATATAGAGAAACGGACCCTGCTAAATTCAAGAGGTGGGATAAGGTGCTTAAATGGAGTAAGCATTCTCTTAAACACTACTTTATAATATAATCACTCTTATCTTCCCTTCATTAAGAAAATTATCAAGTTTCTTAGCACAAAGATAAAACTAACAAAATACAAAGGAATAATAAAAGGAAATAACCAAAGACAAATTATGAAATTAATGGTTAGAATGTTTATGTTATGGTAGCATACGCATTTTCCTGATGATTGCTTTCTCTTTTTACTTCATCATAAACTGGGCTAGGACTCTCTTGTTTTGTTCTGGTGGACCATATTTTATAGAAAACGAATGCTATTACAACTATCAGTAACAGTCCTGTAGATATTGAGAGAACAATGACGGCTTCGTCTTTTGTTGATTTAGATTTAGATTCACCCAGTATGGAATGGTCAAACTCTCCTGCAAATAAAGCATTTTTACACTGTTTTATGTAAGAAAATAGTGTGTTGACACACAAAAATCATCAATGCTTCACAAATGTTTATATGAAAACGAAATCATTATGACATGCGCAGAAATCTATTGTATTTAGAAGGATTGAACATATGATAAATTACAGTAACATTAACCCCGTAACTTCACTTTTTCATCAATACCGGGAGTGTGCGTACATATTTACTCTGATATTACTTATATATTTCCTGTTTGTTTCGAATCAATTTTCATCGACACTATTGTATTTGTCTTCTTATGAATGTTCACAAACCTGTTGAACGAATTCCCATTTTGACCCAACTTTAAAGAAAGCGGAGGGACATTAAATCATCTGTCCGTCAGTCAGTCAATCTGTCTGTCTGTCTTTAACAGTGGTCATAACTTTTTAATTAGAAGAGATAGAACTTTCACATGTGCATTTCCACTAATACAGCAAAATCGAGGAACCACCCTTTTGCTTGCCTGGTGTGAGTTTTCTACCTTCTGTAGTTGTTAAACGAATTTCCAATTCTTCATCTATAGTTGCTGTGACTCTTGTCATAGTTGGAGGCACTGTTACAAGTATTATTAAAACGAAAAGCTCTGAATCCTGATTGTTACTTCCTAATGCCTGCAAGTACATGTGGTTAACTTTTATTTAGTAGAAAAGACGAAAAACTCGATAATTTTACTGAAATAAAGAGATAACAAACCTGAAGTCCTGCCACCACATTGAAGTACGAAGTTTCACCGAAGTTAGAGAAGTTTGCAAACGACTGATTGAGGATGAAACTTCCGTTTTCAAACTTAATATTTCCTTCATATCTTGCAGGATAAACTGTCATTTGAAAAATGAAACAATTATAAATGTTATGAATAGTATAAGATTGATTGTCGTATTTTCATGATTTTGACGTTCAACATTTAAAAAACTGGATGGTTTTTTATGGCATAACTAACACTTTAATGCTAAAATTTATCACATGAAGCCTTTCTTGAGTGATCACGTAAGAGTATTTTTTTTCTTTACTTTAGTATCTCTTATCTAAACTATAAGAAAACTAGAGGTACTTAATTGTGAGCTCTGATCTTACTAATAGCCACTCTCGAATATGACTATAGTGGCAAAATCAATGTTTTGCTCTGGGTAACCCGGAATAAGTGTCAGATCAAAAAGTAGAATTAGAGGTACACAATGACATTATGTAATCATGAATCTTTGAAAATATCATCAATTGTATTCAGCGGTATAAGAGGGGTCGCAGATAAGCCACTTCTTTCCACTTCTAGAATTTCAAGGGGTTGGTGTTTCATGCCAGATTTACATATTGATATTGTGTGACTAACCCTAACCCTAACCCTGACCATTATTTTTAGCTATATCACTCTATTAACTCATGTAAAATAAAATAAACTAATAAAGAAAACACTAATTATACCTGTTAATTTGTATGTAATTTTTGAACGAGGACTATCTGTATCGATGGCCTTTAAGCGGCTAGGTTCAGTTTTGATGATTCCCTGAATTAAAGATAAATCGATAAAATCATTTTTTCAGAAAGTTCAGAAACCTTAACCCTAACCCTGTATACTGAGCAATTATTGCTCTTATGAAAAACAATATTTGTTACAATTGGGAAAAAGTCAAAAGTAAATGAATTTACCTGAGTAAAGTAATCAATGGTGACAGATATATCCGGAACTCGACAAGAGTAGCAGGTAGAGGAGCAATCATCTCTGACGAACACGGGGGGAGTGTCATCCAGGTTAATAAAGTTTACATTCAGGATTGTTGACACGGTATGTGGGCCGTCCTGAAGAATAAAATGTTTCTTCAATCTGTTTGTCATTATATGCATGATCGTGTGATCAATTTTTAGTTGATCAAGGTGACAAGTTGACTTACGACCTTATTGAACCCTTGATTTTCTACAACTGATGATATTTCGCTTGAAGACCATGTCATAAACAGCGTTTCATCATGGAAGATGTTGACAATTACGCATCTCTCTTACGTAAAGAAATTACGATAAGATTGAACACAAATTGGTACTCGTCTGACCAACATGAAGAAAAACGAAAGAAAAGCTGAAAGGGTTCGTCAACGCACTATTCTGACTGTGCATCTTTTGATCTACATAGAAAAGTGCTCATTTAGCAAAAAGTTACTAGTCGAAAGCAAGCAAAACTACTATCTGTCCGAAATAAATTCTTGTACTAAAGAGCAGGCAAACGTTTTCAAAATATCGAAATCATTACAAGGAGAATCAAACGCATCTATTCTTCCAAACCTCTCACTTAAAAGAAAAAAAATGGATTTCTTCAGGAACAAGATATTCTATATTCAAAATATGCTGGTCGGTGAGAGGAGAGGCAACAATGATTACATCAAATGCTTTTGATAATCCATTTGATGGCAAAACCTTATCAATTTTGATCCTATCTTAGTCCCGTTACCAACCAATCAACAAAGAGAATTTCTTGGCGTATCCCATGTCACTGATACATGTCTCGTCAATAAATCGATATCCAGGTGTTATGTTCGATTGAATGTCAAGGAGAGAGTTGTAAAATATATCGTAGACGGGGTAGACGGAACTACAGTAAACCATCTATTTTTTGCTTCAACTTTTATTTGCGATTCGTCCATTTGAAATCAATTCGCGACAATTAACTTACACGACTGAGGGAAAATTCTCTATAAATACAAAGCAAAATGAATGATCCGTGGTAATTTACTAGGGCTGTTCAATAAATATACTGGTGCTCGGAAAGAAACAAAAACCGCTTTTCTGTGAATTAGTCTTAAAATGCTGACTGACATTTTGCATACTAATTGTAAGTCCATTATTTATACACTGGATTGACGACAGATTTTTTTCCGTTAATTTCCGATCATGACAAGGAGCACATGCACGGCGGGTGTTACCGGTCAGCAGGGGATGCTAACTCCTCCATGGCACCTGATCCCACCTCTGATGTTTCGGGGTTCCGTGTTTGCTCTGTTCCTATTTTGTATTGTTTTATGGACTTTGATATTGAATACTGTTCGTTATCTCCATATCCTTCTTTAGTGCAGTGTCTCAAGTAGCCCTTGTTATCCAGGTTCCCACTATGAAACCATGCTGTGAAATGTGGTCACATAAACTGTTATCAATTCATTAAATATTCAATAATGAGAGAAACTCAAGCTTAATGTCACCTGATTTATATATTGTATATCATCGAGCTGAATACATTATGTATTGAACAGGCCTGGTATATTCGCGAGTTAAAGTATGTCACGAACCCGCGAATATTTCTCGCACGCGAATAAAAGTTTGTTTACTGTATCCATAGTCATTACAGTATAAAAAAGGCCTTTTATTTGATTTGACACAAGAAAGCCGAAATATTATGCAATGATAGATTTTATGCACGAAAAAGGTTATTATAGCAAACTATAAGACTAGACTTACGAAATGCTGCTTAACGTCAGTTTATGTTTTTTTTTATATATTGTCGTCTCCTAATGATTGAAAAATTTTCAAGAGCAACATTAAACAACAAAAAGCGAAAACTTGATTTTAAACGAGGCTGTTGAAATCCCTGCAATGTCAACTTATCAGTCGGTGGCTTGTGTACGGTCGACAGGGGATGTTCACTCCGCAATGGCACCTGATCCCACCTCTGATCATTTGGAGGTCCGTGTTTGCTCTGCTCTTCTTTCCTTTTGTTTAATGAACTTATGGGTTTGAATACGAGGGACGTTTGATAAATAATTTCATCGGTGCTCGGAAAGAACGAACAAATGCTTTTCTATGATTTAGTCTTAACGATTAAACTAAAATATTGTCTTCTGATTAAAACATATGTTCGTTAATTTTTATTCAATTTCTAATTGTTTTAGAACACATTTTTGTGTATGAACCGTCGTATTCTGGAATATGGCAGATCCTATGATTTCCTGTACTTGTTTTTTTTTTTCTTTCTTAAACGTGTTTTTGTCAAGTTTGGGATATGAAACAAGTTAAAGGTTGAAAGTACTGGCCAATATTGTTTTGATATGACCAAACATTAACTCTATTTTTATCCCCAGAACTTCTTTACGCTTCATGGCATGTGGGTTTGGACGCTGTCATGAAGAAATTTAACGAAGTAAATTCTTCATTCTGGCTCCTTCCTCTCAAAAACCTTTCAATTTTTCGCAAAAATTTGCTTTCTAGACTCTTCCGGAAATTGAAATTACTCCCCCAATAAGACTTTGACCAACAAGTCAATGCACTAATATCTAAGAAAATAGCATATAAAACTGTTTTTGTGCTCTTACAATTCTCTGCTCTTTTCAGGCCTTTGCTGTTTTGTCAAATGTATCTCATTGTAAATTTGTTTTGAGGGTTTAAAGCAAAATGAATTCAAGTTTCATTATCTGTTGAATTTCCGACAAACATTGTTTTTTATTTTTTACAATAATTGTTTAGATATTCCTACATGCTGTCGACTTCACTCATTTATCAAAATATTGGGTGACCTTTGAGTATTAAACTTTTTACTATCAAATATTTCTTTAGAACAGTGTGAACTACCCCCAAAATGATGTTTATCAAATTTGCTATTTGTCTTAAAGTCAATCAAGCATACTCAGAGATACTTTGTTGAATTTTTGCAAATATACATTGGTTGTTGTATGTCCTTGTCGCAAAGGATGGTACATGTACCCATTTTTGTTGCACATTATATCATTTTGTTCATTGAAATCCACCTGCTCATGTCTGTATAAAACAGACATTGGTTGCTGTAAATTTTACGTAATTCATTTAATATCTCTTTGGGATTCTTAACAAGTGTTACAGCAGCTTTCATGTAGCGTTTAATTTAACTCTAGTGTACTGATTCTTGCCTATTCATATTAAATGCAGTGTCTCGAATAGCCCTTGTCTTTCAGCTTCTCAGAATGGAACTATGTGATGAAAAGTGGTCAAATAAACTGTTATCAACTCATTAAAGATACAATGATTAGAGAAAGTAAATCCTAATGGCAGATGATGTCTATGTTGTATCTTATCGAGGTGATGACATTATTTATAGAACGTCCCTCGTATATATGTTTCGTGTAAATAATATACATTCATTATATGAATTAAAAAAACATTGATTCAAATTACAATTCAGGATTTGAAAATTGTTGCATTAAAAGGTTTAAAGCGTTTTTCTTCTTGACTGAACTCAGTTCCTTAACTCATACGTATCACTGTCTATACATAGGTTTCCCACATCATAAACTTTCGATGCAATTCTTTAGTAATGCAATCCAGGCATTAGATATAAAAATCGCACATAAATAATATTAGTCCTATATGTAAATATCAGTAATAATTTAAATATATCTATGTTTACCTTTGCAGTGATATTTAAGATTCCTCCAGTTTTTCCCAAACCGCACTGGATTCTGGTGTCTTCGTAATCAAAGTTCTTTATTTGATACAGGAATCCTGTCGTGGTGTTAACAGTGAAATACTCGCTGGCATCTGTCTAGATAAAGCCTTATATTTCGATATGCTATTAAACGTATTTCATAAAACAATTTCTTTCTTTTCTGTAACTGTACGTATGTTTTAAAACTCATTTCTTAAATCGTATTTGTCATTTGTCTAAGTAATCTCTCCAATGTTAATGTAAATTGTTACATAAAGCAGTGAAAAATTGATGTTAAGTATTGTAAAACAAAGGAATGTAAATAAATAAATGAAAATGTATATATATATATTGTAAATCCATGTATAAAAATCTGTAAATAAATTTAATAAAAAAGAACATTATTCATGCATTTAAATTAAAGGGGATGGGGGTTGTTGAGTAAAATATTTTAAAAACTTTAAATTTAGTGTTAATTGATGTTATTATGTTTCAATTTTATTATTTATCATCAGACAATTGATAATTTATGGTTATATAAAAAGAGTTTACAGTAGATACTCCCCAGCCTGGGAGTGTATAAGATCTGAAAGGAAATCGTCATGATTTTCCGGATTATAATGATGCGGTAAAAATGTATGATAAATAAAATTTGAAAAGCTTTTCAACTAGTAAATTAAAATTGTTTTGAATATGCTCAACCGCTGTAAATGACAAAAAGATATTTCTTTCTACATTTTGCACCGCAGCTTGCAACATAGTCTACCCTGCAGAAACCATTGGCATTATCACGTGACCATATCCAAGGGTATCAGCGCAAGGTTTGTCTTGAGAGTCTTCATTTTGTAAAATTAATTATTTCGTTTTAAAGACAGCATGAAATAAAAATGATTCAACGATTACATCTTTGAATATTTTGACTTGCTTTCCTTGCATGGAAGTTTTTTCAATATTGTGAAAGAATTTTTTAATGCTTAATTTTGTTTGTGGCCGATTTGATGCTTTGCATCAATTTTTGCTAGTTTGTTGTGCCTTTCATGTTTTTACTGCTTAAACGTAGGAATAAAATGAACTCGGGGCCCAATGCTTAACTACATATTTATTTACAAATTCATTGTTAAACGAAGAAACAAACAAAATCATATATAATTACACTTTACATTATGAATTTGAACTACCTTATAAATATTGGATTCCAAAACTTCATAAGAATCCTTACAAACAAAGATACATTGCAGGTTCCAGTAAATGTTCAACTAAGCTTCTTTCGTTCCTCCTCACTAAGATATTGACAGTAGTGAAGGAAAAACTTCAAGAGTACTGTGCAACTGTATATTCAAAAAGTGGTGTGAATCAGATGTGGATACTTAAAAATTCTAAAGAACTTTTGGACAATTTGAAATCACAAGACTTTACAAAAATCAACAGCTTAAAAACGTACGATTTTTCAACTTTATACACAATAATTCCCCACGACAATTTAAAATTCAGGCTTTTTTGGTATTATTGACAGCTGCTTCTTCAATAAAAATAGAATTCGTAAATTCACTTACCTTGTCATTGGTCATTTGCAAAATTATTTTGTTAAAACAGATTCTGATTGCACACATAAGTACTCTGAAGTTAAAATCAAGGAGATGCTTGAGTTTCTGTTTGACAATATCTATGTGGTTCTTGGAGACCAGGTATTCCAACAATCTATTGAAATTCCCATGGGTACAAATTGCGCTCCGTTATTAGCAGACTTATTTTTATACTCATATGAAGCAGAATTTATGCAAAATCTTATGCGTGAAAAGAAGAAACCACTTGCTGTGGCCTTCAACTCGACATTTAGATATATCGACGACGTATTGTCAATTAATAATGATAATTTCCATTCCCGCGATATATCCTGGTGAGCTTGAAAAAAAAGATACCACAGAGTCCGACACTTCTGCTTCATACTTGGAAATTTCACTTGATTGATTGATTGATTGTATACTGTTTAATGCCCCTCTCCAGAATATTTCACTGATATGGAGACGTCACCATTGCCGGTGAAGGGCTGCAAATTTAGGCATATGCTCGGCACTTACAGCCTTTGAGCAGGGAGGGATCTTTATCGTGCCGCACCTGCTGTGACACGGGGCCTCGGTTTATACGGTCTCATCCGAAGGACCGCCCCTTTTAGTCGCCTTTTACGACAAGCAAGGGGGTACTGAGGACCTATTCTAACCCGGATTCCCACGGGGTTGATATTTCACTTGAAAAGACACTAATGGTAATCTAACAACCAAGCTATATGATAAACGTGATGACTTTAACTTTTCTATCGTCAACTTCCCTTACTTATGCAGCAATATACCTTCATCACCTGCATACGGAGTATATATATCTCAGTTGATTCGATATGCAAGAGAATACTCTACGTACAAACAATATCCACAAAGAGGTAAATTATTGACAATCAAGTTGATGAAACAAGAATATCAGCAGTCTCGTTTAAAGTCATCATTTCGTAAGTTCTATGGTCGATACAATGACCTTGTCAGCAAATAAAATTTATCATTGAG